AGTTGAAAGTGTTTGCTATCATTATACTCTTGATATGTATACTATGTACTTTGCAATATAATACAAATTCACAGTGTAATTAGCAAAATTCAATATTAGATTAGATTTACATGTTCTGAAGCAAACGTGAGTGGTGTTTGCCCATGTAAAACTCGCCGTCGTGATGCCGAAGTGCTGAGGGATGAGATACACACCGAAGTCTAACATGAGCAGAAGTAGTAAGGCCTTGGAAAGCACCAGCAAATACCAAAAGATAATGGAGGAGATAACAGTTTTCGACTAAATATCACCCTGACTGGAAACACTCGAAAGGCTTTCTTTGTTGGACATTAAGACTGTAATTTAAGTGAGATTTCTCCAGCAGTATCTCCACTGACAGACAGGATCCACGTCAAATCTACCGAGACAAGTGTGGCCTTCAAGACAAATGAGTCTCTTTGCTGTAGATGAAGTGTGTTTAAGCTGCTTGATCCATTAAGGATCACCCAGTGAGATGGCATGATGATCTGCCCACCCAGAACACAAGGACAACTTAAGAAGGCTTTACATTACAACTGTCACTCATTTAAAACACATATATCTGTGTTTCCCTTAATCCAAAAGAGTTTCTCCAAAACATGTAAAACATAAAAAAAAAGACATTCAGTGAAAAATGTGCAATAAACAGCCGCTCTCTATGGTTGTTTTAGGCCTTGAGAAGAGGTTGTACAATGTTTGATTGAAAGTACAAACACAATGACAGATGCAGCAACAAATCTGCAGTGTCTACAAACAAGATGAAATATTAAGATGCCTTACGTCTCCCCTTCGCTATGTGTATTATTCATGAGATATAGTCAAAGACATTTAAGGGTCATTGAAGAAAAAAGGAGCCCTTTGCTCAAGGTAAGAATTTAATGCTGTATTTAATGCCAAAAATACACTGTTTCCAATACCCAATAGCTTGCTCTGCAAAATCACGGGAACAAGGTTCACAATTTGAAGAGTTAGGCTATGTTTACAACGGAAAACGCAAAAGTGGCGTTGCGTTATCAGTTTTTATTCTGCGTTTAGACAAGCGAATGGGTGGGAAATCCATGTGACGCAAATGTGTGTGAAATTCGATGTAGTATGCACTCCAGGCGGCTAGATGGCAATGTGGGAATGTGAACAACATCAAGTCCGCGTGCGTGTGCAACTTCACTGTCTAGCGGACTTTTGTGTTTTTACCCTTTAGACGAGAACGCGACGGTGGAGCGTTTAAGATTTCCACTCTGGAGGGTGGTTTCACTTTTTAAGCCCCAAAAACGTTGTTGCCGTGTAAACGAAAGGCACATCCAATAAAATATTTTTACGCTTTCACCCGTGAGCGTTCTCGTCTAAACAGGGCCTTAGTTCACCCAAAAATGTAAATTATCTCATGGTTAATTTAATTTATTAATTTATTTAACAGAGACCATACAGTCAAACATAGTCACAATACAAAGCCTGTAACTGATGCGCAGCATATAGAGTTTGTAGCTAATGCTAATTTACAACTCCTGTCCCTGGTTGGGCATTTTTTTATAAAGGAGTAGTTCACTTTTGCTGATAATTTACTCACGTCAACGTCTTTCTTTCTTCAGCCGAAAAAAAATTTAAGGTTCTGTTCTGTGACACACATTCATGACTCTCCTGTTCGAACTCGTTCATCAACATAAATTAATCTTTTTCTGAGTCAGTTTGTTCGTTTCAAAGATTCATTCATGTTGATGAACGAGTTCGAATAGGAGAGTCACGAACGCGCGTCACAGAACAGAGCAAGGAGACCATTTGAGCTTATAAAACTTTAAATGAGCGATCATTTGGCTTGATAAGACCCTTATTCATCGTCTGAAATCGTTTAAAGCCCTTTCAACAGTTTGCAGTTTGTACCGAAACTCTAATTTGGACCTTGAATCGTTTGGACCCCATTGAAGTCCATTATATGGAGAAAAATTCTGGAATGTTTTCATCAAAAACCTTAATTTCTTTTCGACTGAAGAAAGAAAGACGTGGACATCTTGGATGACATGGGGGTGAGTGAATTATCGGCAAAAGTTTTTTCCAAAGTGGGAGTAATGGGAGTGAATGGTACCTTGTTTTTACTTTTATGATGAATGGATGGAGACGCTTTTTTTGGGCTTAATTTTATTTTTTTACGATTCACTTCCATCGTAATGCTTGGAATAGCTACTGCAGGATATTTTTAATAATGCTCTGATTATGTTTGGCTGAAACTGAAAGAAGTAAGTCATATCCACCTTGGCTTGAGGTTTGAGTTAATCATGGGATAATTTACATTTTTAGGTGAACTATGCCTTTAAAAGGGTCTCACAAAACTAACAAAATATCTTGTTAAAAGTCATTATGAAAGAACACAAAAGCCACATTTTGTAGAATGACCCTTACCAGTCGTACAGCTGCAAAAGGAAAACCATGTGTGAATGTACTTAAGACTAGGTCAGCAAACTCTATTGTCACAGGCTTAATGTTGTTGGTTAAGGCATATTTGTATCATGCGCTGTTTCGTGTAAAGCAAAAACAGGAGCATGGTGTGGGGCAAACCCTTCCTGTAAGAAGATCCCCTATGGAGAAGTGACTCATAAAGCAGAGCCAGTGAAGTTTACAGGCTCTGTGTGGGCCTTCTCGTCACAGCCGGGACGCCCTGAGGATACTGACGCTGTGATACACTCTTAGAAGAAATGGTTCTATTTAGAACCAGAAATAGTTCCATCCCCGCTTCATATATGGAATTCCAAAATGGTTCTAAATAGAACCATTTTTTTAGTAAAAGGTTCTATTGGCCAAGTATGGAACCCCAGGGTTCTATATAGAACCCAAAGGAACCCTTTTTTAAGAGTGTATAGAACCTTTTGGGGGTTCCAAATACGTAGCGCTGATAGAACCTTTTAAGGTTCTATGTAGAAACTTTTCTTCTAAGAGTGTAGCAGCCTGTTACCAGCAGACAGACAACAAGAGGCTAACTGTGTGCTCTCAATGACCACTGTCTCTCCAACAAGGTCTCTCATTAGGTACGCTCCATTTCAAAGGTAGTTATTTGTCACCTGATGGTGGGCATCTCATTTTGATAGTGAGACTTTATTATAGGTCACTTATTGAATCTCTCCTTTGACTCAAACCACACAAGCTCCTACATGATTTAATCAGAGCCGGGCACCAAAGGCATGGATAGTCCTTTGAAGGCAAGATTGCAGTAAATGGCAACACAACTCTATCATATAGCTTCAGATACAGCACACAAGTAATTTTGCTTGTGTGGACATTTGAGTTTTTACGAGCTTCACAGTCAAAATAACTATTTATTTAATGCGCAGGTGAGAAATCACACCGTTAGCTTGATTTACTCGCCAACCAGTGACAAATAAAAACCAACAAAAGCTACTATTTCGAAACAGTTACAGAAAACGGCATATGGACATATTTGGTGGTGCATGTTGATAGAGTGAAATAAAGTTCAGGACAACATGGCTTGACCTCCAGCACAGGGCTGTTTACAGCACAGGTCATGGGAGAGAAAAGACACTGCAGGGTCAGTCGAGGACAAGTGCAAACAACATCACATGGACCAGCATCCGGACTACAAGTCAGCGTTATCTACAGTATACAGCGCTTTTTACAATACAGATTGTATCAAAGCTTGTTTGTTTCTAGAAGACGATTGCGTCACCGTCCACCTTAAGTAAGGCAGATCAATAATATAGTTAATTATAAAATGTCCCCAACTAAGCAAGCCAAAAGCCAAGGCAACAAGACACATGTAGTCAAAATGAGATGGCATTCACAACCTTTTTTACTCTCGTGATTTCCAGATGAAACGGCGCATTTTATGAGAAAGAAAGTAGGCTGGGACTTCATGAGTGAGTGTTACATATCATAATTGATATTATTCAGTATTAGCTTTTGTAAGGTGATATTTGAAATTTTATTTGTTGGGATAACATGGATGAATGCACAAGACCAGGAATGTCAGTTAAGGCAGGGGTTTTCAAACTTTTTGTGTGTGTGGACCACTATTTGTTATCAAGAATTCTCACGGACCACCCCATAATACACATATTATGATATTAAAAATTATATTATATTTTACACATTATAATCAGGTTCATTTGAACAACAGGCTTATTTCCATAGCAATGGAGTATGAAATCTATACAGTAATAAGAACACTTGGATATAGTCAGCTTTTCAAAACCTTTTAGGGGTTTATTAACATTAATATTCAGAGTTCTACAAGTCCTCAAAAAGTAGGCTTGAGTTTGTCCACTTAACAGCACATCCGCAAAACATTTCAGAAACACAAGATCAAGAAACTAACATTAACTGGAAATTAAAATAATAACAGGCCTTATTCATTCCATTTATAAACATTTCGTTTTATATAGGCCTAAACTGCCTAAAGGCTATGCATGTGATTTGATAATGAGAACATATTTGCCTCTGCCCTATTACGTTACACATTTAATGAAGGCCTAACGTTATTCCAGGTTAAAATAAAGTTGTCAAAAGGAAAAACCATTGGAGTCTATTTGCCAGCCCGATATGAACGTAATATCCTCCTTTGTCACCCTCCACATCTTTCCCTTCCTCTTTCTATCATCTGTCTAATATAGACCTATATTAAAAACAAACAACTAAATAAATGCTCACCTAACCTGTTGCTATCCACCAATCCGGTGTTGTGGTTCTGACGACAGGGAGATTGAACGTCACGGCCGAGCGCCACTAGCCTATTTTAGTAATCGCACAATAGCTTGACAATTTAATTGACATTTTATATAAATATAGGCCTACATATTTTTTTTACTTTTTTCTTTTAATAGGAATTTTTTGGTAAAATATTTTAGATTTTATTTTGCCTTTTCACGGACCACCTGCAGTACCCTCACGGACCACTAGTTTGGGAATCGCTGAGTTAAGGAAGTAAAATGGGTAACTTTTGATTTCATATAGACTATAGGATAAATCCCTGGAGTGTGAACCTGTGGGACATGAGGTACGCTGGGATATCTTTGAGTAAACTCACCCTTACAAAGGACGTGTACTGATGGCACTGCTGTCGGTTGATTTCCAAGCTGAAACGCTGACTTACAGCACCGGTCTGCTCAACACCGTTTCCAAAATACACCCGGGCCGGCAGAGCTTTGTGTCTCTTATCTGCATCTGCTGTTAGATTGTACAGCAACTCTGAGGAGAAAAATAGACACCCATATTTCTGTAAGACCACAATGTGTAAACATCTCTCAAACATGCTCTGTGTTTAAACACTCACTATCAGAAGCATTCCAGGCCCATTCTAGATCTAAAAACAAAGTCAAGTGAGACGTCAAGTTCCCACTGTCAAAGTTGTGGAAATGAAACGCTACAAGAACATTTCTTGGGCCACGTCCAAGAGTTAAATGTTTCGTTTGTGGAAGTCTGAGAAAACAGCAAGAATATGAAGAAAAAATATGTACAGATGAATCAATACATTTGTTTTATTAAATATGAATAAATAAAGAAATATTTAATGACAAATAAGTACATTCAGCCCAAAACTGTTATATTGTGTACTTAAAATTATAATATATACAATTCAAATAAGATTTAAACAAATTTCACACTACAATATTGAGATGTTTTGCATTAAAGAGGAAATGCTTGGGCTTGCTCTTAAAGTAAGTTTCAGGTTCTTTATGAAAAATAATATTGCATTTTTCTTTTTGTTTTAGGATGAAATATGATCCAGACATCTCTTGGTGAGATTCATCCATCTACACCTACAGGCTTTTCCAAAACCCAGAAATTGATCAAAAACACAGAACTCTTGGACAGGACCCCAGAAATAGCTGCTTTCTTTCCACTGCCATGAGTGTGACTGTAGGAACTTGATGGATTTCTTGACAGTTTTTGTGATGCGGTCAAATGTTTAATTGCAGGACCCTTGTTCCAGTCCTGACGGTGAGTAAGAGCTATTATTTCTCTGCTAGTCTCACAGGGTGTTACTCTAATGAACGTCTATGAGCAGGAAGGGGCTCCTGGACCAATGCAGGGGATTGTTCTTTGAACACATCCAGCTGTGAGCGCACTATGAGCTCAGAAACAGGGCGTTCCCCAGACACAAGGTGACTTCCCAATGCGAGTGCCATGTGGAGCTAACACTAGTGCTCTGTACTTCCCTGAAATGTCCCATTATGTAACACTCCCTTTATATACTCCATCTCCCATAAGGCCACACCCACTCAGCAAGCAGTGGCCACACCCAGCGGTTTAGCAAGAGGTCATTCTCATGCAGTCATTGAGTCAAGCAACAAAAACTAAATATCAGAAACAAAAGATATAATGGGGAGGGGAAGCATTTTTTTTCGGAGCAATTTTAAAACTGTATTTGGTGATATCGGTAACATTACGCGGGAGCCAAAAGTGATTCATAGTGAATTACTGTTTAACGAGAGTATGCAGTATGGGTTAAGTGAGTAAAATAAAATAAAATACTAAATAATAAAATAAATATAAAATAATAAAAAATGCTATAAAATAAAATGTAATTAATTAAAATGCAATGTAATAAATTAAAATGATCTAAAATGCATTGCAATGCAATAAAATGCAATGCAATACAATAAAATGCGATGCAATGCAATAAAATGCAATGCAATACAATAAAATGCGATGCAATGCAATAAAATGCAATGCAATGCAATAAATTAAAATGATTTAAAATGCATTGCAATGCAATAAAATGCAATGCAATACAATAAAATACGATGCAATGCAATAAAATGCAATGCACTGCAATAAATTAAAATGATTTAAAATGCATTGCAATGCAATAAAATGCAATGCAATGCAATAAAATGCAATGCAATAAAATGCGATGCAATGCAATAAAATGCAATGCAATAAAATGTAATGCAATAAAATGTGATGCAATGCAATAAAATGCAATGCAATAAAATGCGATGCAATAGAATAAAATAAAAATCCCATAACACACTGAACCAAAAACCCTCCCAAAACCGAATCTATAGAGAGTCACCTATGTGGCCAGGTACATGTTTTCCTCGAAAGCTCATGCAGATGGTGACATTGAAGCAGTTGAGATGCTGTGGGCCCTCATGACACTGCGGTACTGTGATGTTTATTGAGGCAGGCAAAAAGATGGAGACGTCCACAGAGATCACCGGCCTGGATCTGTCACATGCAACAGCAAAGAAAGGTCAAAGCTACACCAGAATGGATGGGATGATCATGATTACAAGAGAACACTAACTAGGAATTGATGTAATTAAGCTTTTGTTGGATCAGAAGTGCACAACTCACCTTAACAAAACCACACTGTCAGCCATGAACGCCCCTATCGTCACATCTGATATGGATGAAAACAAGCAAACAAAAACATTTATCTGGAAGGTCAGGAATGATAAGATGTTATCATAAGATAATACTCAGAGCTTTAAACTATTCAAAATCGCAATTGCTGAGATGAAATGAAATATAAATACTAAATGAAAAACTTAAAAAATAGAAAAGTTGCCATACTAACTGAAGTACTAAAACAAAAATATAAAAGTAATATAGAAATAGAAAAACCTGATAAAAATGAAAAAAGCACACGATAAAATTCTTAAAACTTAAGCTAAGATTGACATTAAAACTGGAATATATATATATATATATAAAAGCAAAATATGAATAAATACCACCACTAATTAGTAAACTCTAATGCAAAACAGCACAATTATTATACATGCTAACTGCTCTCCAGTTTATAAAATTAGTGTTTTTTTTAACACTTAATTTTTAAAATTGTTTAAATGACTTGTTGATATTCTCTTTCGTCTCTGTTTAATCAGTGTCCGCAGTGGAATGCTGTAAACAAAATGCTTGCTGGCCACAGCACTACGAACTCGGCATGAGCAGACACGACGTGTCAAAACGCGGCTGAGAAAATTAAGCAAACACCACTTAATCTACATTCCTCGGATTAGCCAAGCATGGAACATTCTCCATCATATAATTAATCCTGTCTTGGACCAGATTCTTCTGTGGATGCAAAAAAAAAAAAAAAGACGAGTCGCATCTTTAGGCCATTTCGCTTTGGAAAAATCACATGATTTGACGAATCATCCGTGTCATGAGTTACACAGTGAAGTTTAATACTTGGAGGTTTCCAGAATGGAATAAACGAAGTGAAGGTTGTTAAAATTTTACATGTTTCCCATCTTTACACAGAGATCGCAAAAGGCCAATGTAAGTGGTCTGGCACCAGTCAAGGTTTCTCACTGAATGCGGTTGGTTTTGATCTGGTTAATTCGGAACATTCTCAATGTTCATTGGAGCAGAACTAGCCAAGTTTCTAAAGTAAAGCCAAACCTGGATATCCGTTTCCATCCATGTCCACATTGCCGGAAATTGACTGGCCGAACATTTGGAGGGTGGGGTTGATGCTTCGCCCAGACAATCTCTGCATACGAACAAGGTGAGAGAGAAAATCACATCAACCAATCAGAGACGTTTCATAACATCTGAATTAACACGAGCACATCTAGAGATTTCAAAATGCCACGCAGTTCCTTTCCCAAATTAAATATTTGAGCTAATTTGATTATTTTTTCAGCTACCACTTGCACTCTCAGCTCCATTTAAGGCATTTTCCCACAAAATCAGCCAATAGATGTAATCTGACCCTTCTGCTTACCCATCAATCAAACTGTTAAACTGCATGAGCTAAGGTTTCTCAATAAAACAAGTGACCCATTGCCAACTAAATCAACCCATCAAATTCATTTTAAAACAGTCACCAATCAAACTCAATAGCATCATAAATAAACAGTAACACTTTACTTGAAGGGGTGTGCATAAGACTGGCATGACACCTTCATAACCATGTCTTGAACATGAAGTAAAGTTTATGACAACTGTCATTAAGTGTCTTTCGCTCAATAATGACATTTTGAATGCAAATATGACATTTTTTAAGATGTCTTTGTCATGACAGCTTGACATTAAATTAAGTTAAACTGTGGTTGGCTTTGACATTGGCTGTCATGAGGCATTATAACTGTGTCATGAATATTTTTCGTGACCCCAACTACAGTGGTACTAATCGGATTTGTCATTAAAAACTTGTAATGGCTTCATGACACCCCATGTCAAAACCAACCACCTGACAGCTTAATGTAATGTTAACCAATAAAGCTAGGTGCTTTCTTAAGTTTGATCATTAATCTGCTATATCATGTTTATGACAGGTTGTGTTGTCTTAGTAATGTCAAGTTGTTAATGACAAAGACACTGACAGGTTATTATGTATTGGTTTATGGTTTATGTCTGTTGAAAGCTGACAAAAAAAAAAATATTGATGCTACTTTTAATAGTAAAGTAATAAAACAGTTGAGCAAAATAATGGTTGATTACCATTGAGTACTTGTTAACTATTCCTGTGGCATCACCATGGTAGATGTAAACGGCTCCTCCATAGTCGTCCTCTTCAGGAGCTCCAATCGCAACATCTACAGCACAAAAGACCAGCAAACAACTCAATGAGAACCATTTTAAAGCCGAAACAGAGAGTAAAGCCGGACGCACACTTACCACGATTTTGTCATCTAAATTTTAAAACAGTTCTTTCGTCTCATTAAAAGAGTAGTTCACTTTAAAAAAAAAAACTTTTGAGATAATTTACTCACCCCCATGTCATCCAAGATGTCCATGTCTTTTAGTGCAGTTTCAGTGCAGCTTCAAAGGGCTTCAAACGACACCAGACGATGAATAAGGGTCTTATCTAGCGAAACGATCACTCATTTCAAAAATAAATAAACAATTTTAAGGTTCATAAGTTCATATGCTCGCCTTGCTCTGTTCTGTGACTCTCCTGTTCGAACTCGTTCATCAAAATGAACTAATCTTTTTTCGAGTCTTTCGTTCATTTCGTTCGTTGAATCAACCAAATGACTCGAAAAAAGATTTGTTCATTTTGATGAACGAGTTCGAACAGGAGAGTCACAGAACAGAGCGAGGCGAGCATTTGTGCTTATAAAACGTAAAACTTTTTTATTTCGTTTTTAAATCACCAATGGTTTCGCTAGATAAGACACTCACTCTCATTTGAACCTTGAACTGTTTGGACCCCATTGAAGTCCATTATATGGAGAAAATCCTGGAATGTTTTCATCAAAAACCTTAATTTCTTTTCGACTGAAGAAAGAAAGACATGGACATCTTGGATGACATGGGGGTGAGTAAATTATCAACAATAGTTTTTTTTTTTAAAGTGAACTAATCCTTTAATGGATGGAAGAACATGGCACATGAATTGATGATGTGAAACACCCGGCAAATCCTGACCAAAGTCTTAGAGATAAACTTAATATAGAGTCATAGAGGCTGCCTTGGCTTTTACTCAAGATCTTCCAGGGGTCATTACGGACAGTCTGGCGAGCAACAATCGTAAATGTTAGAAAAAACTGCATAGTTTGCAGCCGGCTTCAGGGAGACAGCCAGAGACCTGCGACTGGAATAGAAACGCTAGAAGTGGATTTGTGTGTGTCAGGACCCCAATAAATGACTGTTAGCTTTAAGCTCATCTCTGTTAGAAAGACGCTCTGCCAAGTCACTTAATGGACACTTACGTGTTTTTGAGAGTCTGTAAAGGTCAGTGAAACTTCAGGGGGGTTGAAACTGTGTCATAAAAAACCCTTGTGCATGAACAGCAGCCGTACACATTTCACTGACACACTTTTGAAATGTGCCGAGCTTTGAAAACTTTAACATTTATGCTTTAATGTTGACCGTTTTCATGGCATCTGTTTGCATATCGTTCATCGGATCTGTTTGGTATTCTCAAACAATAAAAATAATTATAGAAATTCCTGCAAACACTAAATATGAAGCACCAATATTTATATTTATAGGCTGAGATATTTTCGCCACTTGAGACTGAAACAATTTACTGACTTATTTACATGCAAATGCTTTAATTAATTAGATTATTTAATGTTTTTGTAAGATGTCTCTTATACTCACTAAGGCTGCATTTATTTTATTTAATTGTGAAGTATTATTCAAATTTAATTTCATTTTAAAATATATAATTAAAGCTGAATTTTCAGCATCATTACTCCAGTCTTCGGTGTCACATGATCCTTCATAAACCACTCTAATATGATGATTTGATGCTCAGGAAACATTCCTATTTATTCTTATTATCAGATTTTGTGGAGGATTTTTTCAGGATCCTTTAGGATTTATTTGCAATAGTTTTTCACATGCTGATGTAAATTTAAGAGGCAGGTCAAATGGGAACAGGTTAACCTCATGTAATCTCTTTATGGTTACAGCCTCCTAAAAGACAATTTACTACAACACTGACCCCTCAAATAGTTCATCACAGATGCTTCTCGATACACACGTACATTTTTACTAAGAAGCTTGATTGTTTAAATCAGACTCTTGTTTTAAAGTGCTGCCAACCGCCTCGCTGTCCCACAACGGAAAGATTCACTTCCTGTTTAATCTGACACATCTGTCTCCAATTCTCAGATATTCCTCAGGACATTCACAGCTCTAATTTCTTAGCATCATGTTTCCACATGAATGCATTTGTGTTTGGTCTTTTATTATGTGATGGTCAGTCTCCCGAAGCACTTTCAGTAACACTTATGAGGAAAGTACAAACTAAAACTACAAAACTAAAAAGGCGGCATGTAGAAAATCGAGCTACAATCAAGCAATGCATCAGGTAAGAGCGAAACCAGACGCCAAGAAAAGCCTCCGACTGCATTGTGGGGTGCCAGGAAAATCAAGAGTGAGAACACTAGTCACAGAGGAGATACCTGAGGTTTGAATCTGCTTCACATCAACATATCTTTTCCAGTTACTTGACAAACAATGTCTGTCTGTCTCCAGTACAATGGAAATATGAGTTTTGCATTTAAATTTAAAGGAATATACCAGGTTAAACATATGTGTACAGTAACACACTCACAATTCCTTGTGTGATAACTGCATATTTAAAACATAAAAGTTCAAAAGTTTTTTTATTTTATTTATGTTTTTAAAAGAAGTCTCTTCTGTTCACCAAGGCTGCATTTATTTGATCAAAAATACAGCAAATTTGCTTCAGTGTTTTGGGATTTTTATTGTATTCTATTGCATTGCATTTTATTGCATTGCATCGCATTTTGTTGCATTTAAACATTTATTTATTTATGTATTTTTTTAATGTTTTTAAAAAAAAGTCTCTTCTGTTCACCAAGGCTGCATTTATTTGATCAAAAATACAGCAAATTTGCTTCAGTGTTTTGGGATTTTTATTTTATTCTATTGCATTGCATTTTATTGCATTGCATCGCATTTTGTTGCATTTAAACAATTTATTTATTTATGTATTTTTTTAATGTTTTAAAAAAAAGTCTCTTCTGTTCACCAAGGCTATATTTATTTTCAAGGAAATATTTTTTTTATTGTTATCAATGTTAAAAAAACTATGAAACACTTTTTTTTTAGGATTCTTTGATTTTTTTAAAGTTCAAATTAGCAATTTTATTTGAAATAGACATTTTTGTAGCATTATAAATGTCCTTACTGTCAATTTTTATCCATTTAATGCATCCTTGCTGAATAAAAGTATTAATTTGTTTCAAAGAAACAGACTCCAAACTTTCAGAATATTCCTTTATGTTGAAGGACTTCACTATTATTTGCTCATGCACTGCTCTGATGTGTGATCGTTTTGAGCTCAAGCTGACTTTGGACACTGACCTTGGTAGCCATCGTCATCAATGTCCCCAAGAGACGTGATGCACTCTCCAAAATGAGCGTTGTATGCATTGTCACCGTTCAATATCGCAACCTCCTCCATTACTCCCTGAACAAACAGGAACAAAAAAACGTTCAAAACATTTGTAAAGTTTAAGATATTTACCTTAAAATTAAAACCTGGTCACAATGTAGCTTTAAGGCATTAGTTTACCAACTTTAAAGGCATTTAAGTGTAGTTTATGACAAATATTCTTATCATTAATAAGTAACACATACTGTATGTAAAGCATGCTGAACTCACATTACCACTGCTGAGGTAAACAGAAACTTGTCCTTCATCCCGGATTTTGCTGTGCATGGGTGCTCCCACGAGCAAGTCCGACAGTCCGTCCGCGTTTAGATCAACTGCACACAATGAGGAGCCAAAGTAAGAGCCCATCTGAAACCAAGCCGAGCCAAGAGCAAACGGGTCAGGTTACAACGCCATGCACAGGGCACATACACCTCCATAAGATGCATTACCTCATACTGTTCCCTTTTGGAGGAAAGACAAGCTACACTGACCTATATTTGAACATACTGTACATGAATATACATGAGATCTGAGAGCTGTTTTTCAACTAACAACTTCAAATCTCATACTCAAGGAGGAAAAAACTACTCAATTTCATTTACAGGCTCAAACTGAGCAAAACTGTGCAATTTGATGCAGTTAAATATATGGCCAAAAAAAAAAAAATCATTATGATAGCTTGTAAAGTAAAAAAATGCTGGGTTGATTTAACAAATACGGACAAACCCAGCCATTGGGTTACATTTTTAAATGACATTTTCAACCCAATGTTTGAGTTTGTCCATATTTGACCCAAAATTGGGTTAAAACAACCCAGCATTTTTTAGAGTGAATGAGATCTTTATAACAGTATAGCAACTACTTATATAAATTGCATATAAATATCAGTGGCCACTCTGTATCTCCCAATAACGTCTCAGCTTAGTTATGATCAAATCTCTGTAGGTTTTATTGTGGGGGGGGGGGGGGGGGGGACACAGAATGCAATACAGTGATGGCAAATGTGTCTTATAATATTCATATTTTAACATGATTTTTCTATAAAAAAAAATAATAATGTAAGGATAATTAAGTAAACCTAAGTTGCTTCAGTCCAATAAGTGTCCATCTTGAAATATTACTAACAATATAAAAGTTATGTTTACTTTATAAAAAGCAGTTAGATACTAAAAGTATCAATCAGAGGGCATGAATAAGATTTGATTTAAACCAAAACTTTGATCATATTGACAATTTAGAGGCATCAAATGAGATACACTAGGGATTTAAAGGGTTACTGGGATTTTTATAATTCTTTTAAAGATGCTTTTTTGTTGTTGTTTAAGGATCTCCACAGCCCCTGATCAACACATGCATTTGTACAGATTCTTCAAAACATGTATTTAATGTGGAACTATTCTATGAGTGATTAAATAAACATCTTACATTTGGACCTGAACATTATACCCACCATTTTCCCTGAGGCCTGAAAGATCTTCACAAGAGATGCTCCCTCAATTCTGAAGACGTAAACCTAAAACATGGATGACAGTGTGGTTTTATAATGTCAACATTGGTGTAATGTAAACAGAACCTGGAAGCAATGATGCAATTTCTGAACACTGCGAGAAACCACCCACTTTTCCACCACCACTGTCTTGAGGTGCACCAGCTGCCACATCTATGGTATTTGGAGAGGAAAAGTGACCAGCAGTCACAGCATACCCTAAAAAACACAAATCTGTGAAGACTGACTGCAGCATGCAACGTTGAAGTAGTTATTAACATCCAAATAAGCAGGAATTACCAAGGTAGCTGTATCTATGAGGGTTCAGGTCGTCTTGATTAAGGTTGTAGTGAGTATTGGATGTCATGTTAAACACTTTGACTGTTCCGGTCCAGTAGTAAGAACCAGGTGCACCCATGATAACCAGTTCCTAAAAAACAATATCAATGGAGATCCGTTCAAAAAGACACTTCAGCACATTTCCTTACAGCTGGAAAAAAGTTACATTTCAAATTATAGGAGAAAAACACAGAGCTGTCGGTGTGGCTTTGGTCAACCGAAAGCCACAAACCATGTTGTATTATCTGCTGGTAACCCAGCCGTGAGCTGAAACGGCAGCTGCTGTTCTTCTCTTTGATCACTCAATGGACTTCAAACTGGAGGAGAACTCAAGCCTCTCAAATGTTGAAATGCACCACATTGTCACACTCCAAATAAGACATTGCTTTATATACTGTACATGCCTGCCGCAATGGAGCACAACAGTATACTCTTATTCTATACATGAAGCATAGGGTTCTTTACTCAACTCCAAAGAACCTTTTATGCTAAAACAGGTTCTAGAATGACAAGAAAGAACCCTTTTGGCACAAAGGTTTTTTTATGGGCTATTATTCATTCATATATTACATTATTCTGCAATATCATGTAGTTGCAATTAAATTATTGTTTATTATCACATTTTAATCATGCTGATTTTTGGAGGTGAAAAACTGAAATGCCACTCTTCGTGTGATATTGATTAACTACATAAATATTTTCTAGCCACTTTGTGATCATTCCAACACTATCTCACGACCAATTCGTACGAATTTGACGCATGATTAAAAAGTGTCTAATTCGTACGACCTCACTCGCACTAATTCGTACGATTTGTCTAAACCCACGTGATGGTTAGGTTTAGGGGCGGGGTCAGGGGTAGGTCATTCGTACGAATTGGCCAATTCGTAAAATATGTACGATTTAGCAAAATCGTATTAATTCGTACGAGCGAGGTCGTATGAATTGTTACGAATTAGCCACTTTTTAATCATTCGTCGAATTCATACGACTTGGTCGTGAGATCGGGTTGGATCATTCACATGCATTCATAAATACATTTTAGGGTCTTGATGTTTGTCAATGATATGAAATATTTAAACAATTGCTACTGTATGAACCCAAAAGGTTCCATATAGAACATTTCACAAGATGTAAACAACACTGGTCCAGAAGCACTTCCTGTTTCAGTTTTTTAACACTACATAAAAGCTGGGATAAAATACACCCAACAGAACATATAAAACTGAATCAAAAAGTTAAACAAACATCTTTAAGATGTATTGTTTACATGTGAAATAAAGAAAACAGTTACAAACTGAAACAGGAAGTGCTTCTGGACCAGTGTTGTTTACATCTTTTGAAATGGTCTATAGAACATTTTTCCTGGTTACAAAGAACCCTAAAAAAGGGGTTCCAAATACGTAGTGCTGATAGAACCTTTAAAGGTTCTATATAGAACCTTTTCTTCTAAGAGTGGGATAAGAAGCAAACATCTCATTCTGTTTCTCCATAGAGAAATGTATTTTTTTGTGAAAGATTTTTAAGCAATGACGTAAAAAACAACTAAATGTTTAATTCCTCACATTAATAAAATCCAACAATTAGAAAATTTAGTGTTTTTAATCTCAATATTTGTATTTATGTATCGCAATATATAATAAAATAAAAATATATAGATGTACACGGTTTAATTGGCAATGCTTAGAACTCTTGAAAAATCTCTTTGAAGAAAATGAAATGGAAACGTGGAACCATAGCCATATATATTTAAAAAAACGCACAATTTGGCATTTTAATGTTTAGCTCTGAATCCTTTTTCCGACACCCATTATCTCTGAGGATACAAATATAAAAGCTTGGGCACATGGAGAAGAATTAGGCTCTTTTACGCAGTTGTTTTGAGTTTCAAGGACACTCTCCACTGCTTTTTCCATTTCACAACGCATGACTGCTAAAAAACACACAAATGCTGTTCGACTGGGTCATTCCAGCCAAACATGTAAAAACACCGCCTCCAGCTGAGCCGACAGCATTCAATCGAGGAGTTTTTAGACATCTGTTTTAGCCACTCAAGGTCTAGATGGTCACATTCTTCCTAATGATAAAGAGCCGTTACCACCCAAACTACAAAGCAGCCGATGCAGATGCCATTCTTTACAGGTCAAGCCTTTTGGATTCCTCCAACACTGATCAGGTCAGCTTTAAAAGTATATAGTTAACAAGCTCCATTCCAAAATCTAGTGAACTACCATTTCTCAGCCATCTCTTAAAACACACCGTCTGATAAATGAATAACACCTCAGTAATCAGAACCACTCTGGACTGGAGTTTAGTTGAATCCAGTCATATTTGGTTTTCTTTTAAGAAAAACAAAGTGAAAAGGGTCAGAGAGTGAGTGATGATATTGATGAACCGTTGGGCATCACATCTGTCAGCCCGTGTTCTCGTATCTGATCCAAGCCTGGACTGCACGTTAACAGGTTGGCTGCACTTCATACAAAACACTGAAACGGTCAATGTGCAAAATGAAGAGCAAGTGGACAAACAACTTTCATGCAAACGTGTGTATCGCACACAAAAACTTTGAATTCGGTTCAAAAACTTGCAGGGATCTGTTAAACAGAGGCTATCAGGCCTGTCGAGCCAAGGACTGGAGTTTATGCAACCTTCCTCTTAAAGGGATAGTTCACATTTACTGTACATTTTTAAGAAAACCCATTTTAAAGAAAGTTCTCACGGCTCTTTCCCCCCATTCAATAGAAGCATATCTTGACTAGAAGCTGTCAAGCAAAATTCAAAATTCCCATCTTGAAAAAAAAAACTAAGAAAAATAACTAAGTTATTGCATTATAAATTAGTACTGTATGCCAAAGTTTGTATGTTCTTACTCTAAATATCCTCAACGCTTTATTCTCCCTCAAACCGCAGTGCATTACCACCCGTGCTACCTCTTATGACGTATAAAAAAAGAGTTTTTTTTTCCACAAGTGATTTCAAGTAAATAGGCACAAGTCCGAGTCAAGTCTAAAGTCACACGGAGCAAGTCTAAAGTCAAGTCGAGTCTTTTCAGAGATCTAGTCAAGTAAGTCTCAAGTCCAGAAAATTTTCCAGAATTTCCCACCTCTGGAAAATAGTGTCATGGTATTATATTTTGGGGATTTGGTAACATGTTTTTTTGGACATCCTGGACATAATGTTTGCTGAATAAAGTCTAAACCATCACTCAGCTTGATTACTCTTAAAGGGATAGTTCACATTTACATTTTTAAGAAAACCCATTTTAAAGAAAGTTCTCACGGCTCTTTCCCCCCATTCAATAAAAGCATATCTTGACTAGAAGCTGTCAAGCTCCAAAAAGGACAAAATTGGACCATAACTGCAAAATAAAGTAGACTGTGCATATGACTTTTTAAAACTTCAGAAGTCATGTAATGGCTATAGTTAACCCTGATTCCCATCCTACACAACTACCATTCACATATGCAAATATTTAAATATTCAGATGCACATCAAAGTGTATTTTTATTGGTCTTGATAGCCACATATGGCAAACGCAGATTGGGGATTCTGCTAAACATCTTCATTTGTGTTCCAAGGAAGGAAAAAACATCACAGGTTTGGAACGACATAATAAATAATGAGACATCTTTGGGTGAACCCTGGAAAATGAATATACCAATCACACTCTGTTAAATGTCAGTGTTCATACATGTAATCATGTAATCTGAGCGCCACACATGTGAAAACACATAATAAGCTCGTACTTCTACTGACCTCGGTGAAAACGCCTGCGATCCCGGCTTGGCACGAGCCATGTTCTTCCCCATAGGTCTTCTTATGGTCTGTGAGAGTGAGTAGGGGGAGAGAAAAAAAACATCAGACCACAAATGATTTCGCTGTAAGTCTGAGCCAGCATTTACTGGAGTTCTTCCGACATTCCATATGGAGTTAGTCAAAGTCCCAACTCCATCCAAGAGGAATCTGGGGGCCGAGAGACAGACTGAGAACGACCTAACACACAACAGCTCACACTCTGGAGGGCTTCGAGAACGGGGGGGATCGCTGTGCTCTCCGGTTACAGAAAATATTGGGCTTGGATCTCCCCATAATGCACTGCACACACATAAAAGGCCCCCAATACTAACTCACTGGAGTCGGGAAAAGATATGGAAGGAAATAAATAACTCAGGAGCCGAACACGGAAACGAATTCAGATCAAGAATTCGTGCGCCCTCCCTCGCTCTTTCCGCAGCAAATCAAAACATCTTGTAAAATACGACGAATCCTACTGGGACGATGAAATTCAATGCTGACGGAGGCGCTGAATTTAATATACTACAATAACATCTGTCAAATGTATGATATGCGATGGGGCGAGTGATAAACAGTGAGTGCAAGCGAATTTCGATATTGACAGCTGTTGATTGGCACGTTCTCGGCTTAATACAAGTTTCTCAGTGTGTATAAATAAAGAGAAAAAAAACACTTTTGGGTGAAATGCAGACGGAATACTGACATAAAGCAAAAGTGTTTTAATGGAATTAACTGTGAAGTTTGTTTTTGTTAAAAATACGTATTTAAAATAAGTAATAAGTATTAAAATAAAAAAAATTAAATAAGAAAGTTAATATAATGCGTGATGAAACTTAAACGTTTCTTGAACAAGCACATATTGTGATCTCTCATGGGTACATTTAACAGCTTTCACACACACACACACACACACACACACACAAAAACAATCAAAAATAGCAGAGGTGGGAGTAAGTCACTAAAGTCTCAAGCCAAGTCCAAGTCTTAACATTGCAAATCAAAGTCAAGTCAAGTCATTCTGTTGTAAGGGTCAAGTCAAGTCAAGTCGCAACTTAGTCATCAAGTCATACCAAGTCGCACACAGGCTAGATTTACACTTTTTTTTTTTTTAACTCTGGGACTTTTATTATTTATTTAGACACAGAGGGCTGATGGGTTACAAAAATAAATAAATTAACTTGTGTGTTATAAATTAAATATCATTAAGAAGCACTTTACATGCTCTAAAATAAAAAATAAATTAAATGAACACAAGTAAACAAGAATTAATACAACTTTTCCCATCTTGAAAAAAAAACTAAGAAAAATAACTAAAAAGTTATTGCATTATAAATTAGTACTGTATGCCAAAGTTTGTATGTTCTTACTCTAAATATCCTCAGCGCTTTATTCTCCCTCAACCCGCAGTGCATTACCACCCGTGCTCCCTCTTATGACGTATAAAAAATCACAATAATTGAGTTTTTTTTTTCCACAAGTGATTTCAAGTAAATAGGCACAAGTCCGAGTCAAGTCTAAAGTCACACGGAGCAAGTCTAAAGTCAAGTCGAGTCTTTTCAGAGATCTAGTCAAGTAAGTCTCAAGTCCAAAAAAATTGCGACTCGAGTCTGAGTTTCCCACCTCTGGAAAATAGTATCATGGTATTATATTTTGGGGATTTGGTAACATGGTGACACGTTTTTTTGGACATGCATCCTGGACAATGTTTGCTGTATAAAGTCTAAACCATCACTCAGTTTGATCACTCTGTCAAATCGATTAATCACATCTAGCCTATAAAAGTCTTTGTTTACAGTACATAATACATGTGTGTGTATATGAGTGTGTGTATGAGTATACAGTATATGCAGACACACACTCCCACAAATATAATAATATATATACTCACATATATTATGTAAAAAAAAAACAAAAAAACTTTTGTTAGATGCGATTAATTGCGATTAATCAATTTGATAGCACTAGTAAAAAGTCCAATATTTAATCTGCATAACCCTGAATGTGTCCTCCAGATTCCTAGGTGTTGTGCTCTGGTCATATTTCTCTCCAGCAGAGTCTGGAAATGTGCAGCTTCTTTTTGATTCTGGAAGTCTGATGCCATACAACATCACTCTGAGGTTTTGGAGGAAGTTCAGGGCGCCATAACTCATTGTGAAGCTCGTTGAGAACATGTGCCACAATAAACAGTGTCATCTTTCCAACTTGTTCTGAGGGTTCAAGGCTCAGACTTGGCCATCATTGCTTTAGCCTGCTTTCAGTTTTGTGTTTGCTGGAAGAACTGAAGAACTTCTCCTACAATAGGGCTGGTTAGCACCCACTACCTCACGGTCATACATGGTCATACATATCCAAGATTCATAGACATTGCAATGAATCACCATACCACAACTGAACAATTTCAACTGACATGTATAAGCTAGATCAGTTTTTCTTTACTTTAGTCTGTTATGGCGCCTCTAGAAGCGACTCTGACCACACTGGGAAACGCTCATTTAGACGACCTGCTTCTACATTAATTGAACTGTGGTGCAATTATGGTAATACTTGGGGTTAGAAATGAATAACCTTAAGTATTATTCATAATAGCAACTGCCACTAACACATACTCTCACTGCTGAATAACAGGACAATAACAATCAATGATCTTGATATAACTAATACTCTCAATTAAACTTTCAAATCGCAAAGACCAGAGCTATTGGTGACTAAAACAAAAATAATTATTTTCGTTAAATTAAATAAAGCTAAATAAAATAAATATAAAATATTAGATTTTACACAGGTTTAAGTACTAAAATTAAAAATAAAATAAAGAAAAATAAAACTGACAAAAGCACATAACAAAATCACTAAAACTAAATGTGAAATAAAAATAAATTAAGGCTAAATAGAAAACAACACCAACAGCAACTAATAAAACTGGCAAAAGCACATCAAATTACTAGAACTTTAAAACGACAATTGAAATGAAAACTGGAAATATCAAAATAAAATCGAATTAATTCAAAAAATTAAATACTATAGTAGTATATACAAATCAAGAATGACTATTGAGCGAGTCGATACCTTCATAACACGGTATGAGCGGCTGTGATTTGCCCTGCAGAGTGGCTGGGATGATGGAGCAGTATCCGTGCGGAAGAATATACTCCGATTCATAGTATACATTCTTCCAGCGGTGAGCGCAGGCCTGCAGACAATACAAGAAAAGGAAGAGGGAAGAGAGACATGAGTAGTTAGACGGTGTAGACAGCTCTTTTACTTTGACATGAATCACAGTTACAAGTACAACCCATTGACCACACTCTACATCCCGTACAGCCTCTTTCATTTTCATTTACTTAAATATGGCATGTATCAGGTCTAAATTTGCATCATCATCATCATGCTAATTGCACCAAGAAACAAACAGGATACACAGACAAAGATTCTTCTCTTTATTCCAATGCCAAACTAACTTCTGAGACAAAACCAGCAGGCCACGGCTGTGGATCTAATCTGTCCACTGAGAGGGGGTTGTTGGTTTTAGAAAGCTGAGCATCTTCATTCAAACATCTCTGATCTCTGGAACAACAGAAGCGCTCAAGGCTGTGAATCCAGCCAGAGAGCAGAGAGACTCTGAGAGAAAGAGAGAGAGAGAGAGAAAGCAAAAAGGTCATAGACAGAGGATGGGAACTAAAGTAGTTGCATTTCCTGAAGGAAATGCCCGAAGGAAGTTCTTGCAAGGACGGATAGCGTTAAAGGATTGTTACAGAAACCCTAAGAGTCCATGCATTCATATTTTTCTTAATATTTGGCTCAATTTTCCTCATGATCCTAACATAACAAAATTTCTTTTTTACGGTGATCTTGACATCGCATTAAAGGGATAGTTCACCCCAAAATGTAAACTCTGTCAGTAATGACTCTCCCTCATGTTGTTCCAACCCCGTAATACTTTCGTTCATCTTCAGAACACAAATTAAGATATTTTTGATTAAATCTGAGAGCTGGATCACTTCTCATAGGCTTCTGAGGGATTGAAACTTGCTGGTCCAGAAAAGTTATTAAAGACATCGTTAAAATAGTCAGAGTGACAACCAAGTTGCTCAACCATAAATTTATCAAGCGAAGAGAATACTTTTTGTGTGCAAAATAACGCCTTTATTCAACTATTCATTTCACACGCATCACACACATGACCAGCATTGGCCAATAGTGAGCCTGCGTGTGACGTACAACACAGAAGCACTGCGCTGTTAAGGCCCGTTCACACCAAGCACGATAACTATAAAGACATAATTCTAAAAATCGTTCTCCATATTAATGAATAACAGAGTTCACACCACAGCTATAACGATGAAGATATGAGGAACGAGATCGTTGGGATCACTTTCAGAACGATTTTTTCCAGCTGTCCAACGATAAAACACTGACAACCAATCAGAATCGCGCATTTAAAATGGCAGATGACATTGCCGAGAAGTTAATCGTCGAGGTACAAAAAAAATCCTCCACTGTTTGACAAGTCAAACCCCCGTTTCAATGATACGTTAAAGATGGATATATGGAAACCTAAAGCATTCTGGGAATAAACGGTGAGAAGTATTCACAATGAGATTATGCAGTTTAGCATAGTGTTACAAAATTACCTCAGGTAGGCTACCCAGCGCTAGTTGACAACATTGCTGAAGTATTAGGCGATGCTTTTATCCCATCATTGACATCATTGACTAAATCCAGATATTACACTAGACTAGATTCACTGTTTAGATGCGCTCCCAACTCCTCTCGTCTTTTAAGGATATTGACCGTGTACCCAAAACAAAAAGCGCCTGTTTTTCTTTTGATATTTGTTTGTAACGTAAAGCAGCAACTGCAGGTCATTTGCAGAATAAAAAGACCGTTATCTGTCATTGGTTTGGACGCATTATAGTTATCTTTATCGTTATCTTTATAGTTATCGTGCTTGGTGTGAACGGGCCTTTACACTACGTGAAATCTCTCGGCCAGAATAGTTGAATAAAGTTGTTATTTTTGTTTGTTTTTTTGTGCACAAAAAGTATCCTCTTCGCTTGATAAACTTATGGTTGAGCCGCTGTAGTCACTCGGACAATTTTAACGATGTCTTTAATAACTTTTCTGGGTCGGCAACTTTCAATCCCTTGGAAGCCTATGGAGGAGTGATCCTCTTAATCAAAAACATCTTCATTCAGTCCCTCCAGAAAAACGCGATTATGCGATCGCTGAATTCAACGCAAAATCAGCCAAAGTCCGCATATTTATGCGGGGGCCGCATTTTTTCAAACACGCCGCACTTTCGCCGCATAAATTGCCGATTTCCGTGCAAAATATGCGGGGTTTGCATAATTTCATAATCCTCGCATTTTCGTTGCAAAAAAAGTCACATGTATCTTAGCAAAAAGTTGAAAAATGTTGCGTTTGCTTCACACAAGAGCAGCCATTTCCCCCTGTTTCCATGGGAACGTTATGAAGTGACGCAATTACGCGACGCCAGACAGACTCACAGAGGCGATTGACATCTCACAAATCGAACTCGTATTAACTCTCTGTCACACGTTCTACTGTCACATCGTTACTTAATAAACAACATAAGATAAAAGAAGTAGCATCAAACAGAAATTAGGCGCACATATAACACTGCAGAGAGTTCAACAGGGAGCGCGCAGCTCTTAAAGGGGCCACACCTTATTTACACTCGTTACAGTCTGAAATAAAACAAGATGAGAAATTAAATATTCCCAGCACTTTCTATGATGTAGTATGCTTGCTTATCAAAGGAAGTAATAAGAAATGACTCTTACATTAGCCTAGTGAGAACAGGGTGTTGGGGGAATCACTTTTTTTCTCTTTTTCATCAAACCGCAATTTTTGCAAGTTCCCTCAATTTTTGCAAATTCCTGCAATTTCATCGCATAAAATTGCATAAATATCCTGCATATTACATCGCATTTTTAAAGAAAACGGGCCGCGTAATCAATCAATTTTTGCCCGCAAAAATCACAAAAAAACTCTGCGTTTTTCTGGAAGGACTGAATACTATTATGGTAAATGTTATATATAAATCGCAAATTTTTTCACAAATTTTTGGAAATTACCACCACAAAATCAGTCATTTTGATCGCAAAAATCACACAAAAAAATCGTGAAATCCTGGAGGGACTGTTCATTTGTGTTCTGAAGATGAACGAAAGTCTTACGGGGTTGAACAACATGAGGGAGAGTCATTACTGACAGAGTTTACATTTTGGGGTGAACTATTCCTTTAATGCGATGTCAAGATCACCGTAAAAGAAAAATCTGTTATGTTAGGATCATGAGAAAAATAGTAGCACAAACAAAGTCTAATACTTGTGTTTGTATGAGAAATAGAAACAGTGATACTTATCTTAGCAAACACCACTAACAACTTTTAACGAATCATTATAAAAACTACAACATGTGAATGATCACGCAAACCCTGCCATCATCAACAATCTAAAACCTCTCTGTTTTGCTCGTTAATACAGTCCTATAATCGTACGCCACAAACTTTCCTTTTCCACATTTTATCTAGAGTCAAATCCCTTGTCGAAAAGCTCAGGATTGTGGAGAGACCAAATTCCCTCCAAAACACGGTTCAGCTGTTTCTCCATCACAACAGCTCCTACACAGTCCATTGAGATAAACAACCAAGTTAAAGATATTACAGATTCATAAAAAATGCTCACACATGATGTCAGATGACTATCTGGCAGTAGTTTGTTGTGTTGAGAAACACTGCTACTCTGTTGGACTGTCAGAGCCTTATGCCTGCTACAGACTTTATGATTTTGGCAATCCGGCAAGATCATTACAAATCACACTGTACGACATGGATCGAATAAACTCGCATGATGACACGTATTGAATCGTAGGCTACGACGAATGAAAAGTCATCAGCATGCTCTAATGGCAAACAAATAGAGCAAGATGAATCGCATTTTGGCAATTGTGGTTTTACTGTGCGATCAAAAAAGAGGAGAATATGGATGCAGTCATGGCTAGGTAAAAGAGGCCAACTTGGCATGCACACTTTGCAAATGGAGCTCGAGGTAATAGTTTTAAGTTTTAGCAACATTGTGTTGATCAATACGCCATTTCGTGTTCTAGTCAGACGTAGGTTGTGGCAGCAAACACACTGTCAGATGATCATGCTAAATTTCTGACATTCTGACTATCTTTGGTCGCAAGATACGCAAGATAAGAGCCACGGTTTACAGAAAAAATTGGTCTTCATCATCTGGGACAGCCCAAATTAATACAATGTGTACCGGGCATAAAGCAGTTCGCTTTACTGTGTTGGCAGCTCTTTTACTTATCTAAACTCAAAACAATCCACATTTGATAAAACAGTCTAATGACAACCAAAGGAACAAACTCCAGCTTACTCCCTGGCAGCCGGCATTGGGAACCACAGGACAGACGTAATGAAACACGTAATGCTTAACTAAATCAGGAATGAGTCTGAGATGTGCATTTCCCCTCAGAGGCTCTGAGTCACCGTGGATCACGGGCTAATCATGTTTCTGCTCATGCTGAGAGCTGATTGGCTGAGTGAAGGCCAACACATCTGCCCAACAGCTCTCTTACATGCCTTACATGTAAACGTGACTGCCTTCAAATGCAGCTATTTGTTGCGGTGGGACACACACTGTAAACGCATGTATATGCATCTATAAAGTGCTTTCATGTTACGGAATACATTTGCTATGCACACAGCTTTCATTTGATCATTCAAATGTTTGGGATTGGTAAATACAGTAAAAACAGCGATATTGTTAAATAATATTATAATTTAAAATAACGTTTCTCTATCTGAATGTAGTCTTTTCCTGGCTGTAATGCAAATCATTACTCCAGTCTTCAGTGTCACATGATCCTTCAGAAATCGCTGTAATATGCTGATTTGAAGAAACTTTTCTTCTTATTATCAATGTTGAAAACAGTTGTGCTGCTTAATATTTTTTTTCAGGATTATATGATGATTAGAAAGTTTAAAAAGAAACAGCATTAACTTTATAAATGTCTTTATCATTTTAATGTGTCCTACACTCTAAAAAATGCTGGGTTGTTTTTAGGGATGGGCAATGATTAATCGCGATTAATCGCATTCAAAATAAGAGTTTGTGTTTACATAAGATATGTGTATGTAGTGTGTATAATTAATTTGTATATATAAATACCCACACATTTAAGAAAAATGTGTTATTAATATATCAAATATTTATGTTTATATATAATATTAATTGTGAATAAATATATATAAAATATATACATGCACATATTTCTTAAATATATACATGCATGTGTGGGTATTTATATATACAAATTAATTATACACACTACACACACATATATCATGTAAACACAAACTTTTATTTTGGATGCGATTAATCGTTGCCCATCCCTATAGTTGTTTTAACCCAATTTTGGGTCAAATATGGACAAACTCAAACATTGGGTTAAAAAAGTAACCCAATGGCTGGGTTTGTCCATATTTGACCCAAAATTGGGTTAAAACAACCAAGCTTTTTTTTTTTAGAGCGTAGCTGAATAAAAGCATTAATTTCTCTAAAACGATTAAGCATGCATATCAAGTTTATGGTGCAAATCCCTGACTGCAATCTCACCTCTGTGGTAAAATACACTATAATAAAAACACAGTTTCAGCTCTAAAATCTTATTGCATGAGCTACGCCACGTCTCCTGCCATTTAAAAGCATTTATACAGCCTTGCTTGCGTTGGTGTCTCTCTTGCACGTGGTTCTCCTGGACATGAGCCTGAATGCCCATTTGTTTAATCCGGTCCTGAATTGTATATACTAATCAACCAACCAAATTACCATCATTACAGCTACCACTATAACACGCCATCTCTCCTTCAACCTCTTTGATTTGAACATATCAGTGCTGTAAGTGTCCTTGCCTCTGTCAGACCACCCTGATCCTGCCTTCCTGTAAGACGCCCATCAAAACCCGGAGAACCCCACGACAGGGTTCTGCAGTTAAGACGTAACGAGGAGTCTGACCTCGAATCGGACCACCACGACACAATTCAAGCCTGAAGAAACCTGGAAACAGAGCAGATTGGTGCTGCTGACGTCTTGTTTGACTTGTTTGTCCATTTAGGGCATCTATTCTAGGGCTTCAGTTTGTCATCATGATAAAATGGCCCTCACTTCAAACGCTCAGCTCCAGTCTTGCTTTCTCTTGATGTGTGGAACAGCTGGAGTTTAACAATGCGGTCGTCGTGAAAAGATATTTGTAACAATGATGGCTTTAGTTTCTGCCCATGTTTTACAAGTCGATGTGGTTTGTATTAAACAACTGCTGAGATGGTTGAAAAATAGGTTGTTAAGAAAGAAAAAGTGGAACAACTAATAAAGTAAAGCATGATTGAGATTATTATTACAAAAAAAAAAGTCTATTGTATTCAAACAAAACCCTTGTTGGCGAAAAGCATCAATTTCCTCTGATTCGTGATTTAACGTAACATCAGTTACGTTAAATCTGGAACATTTTTACCTGTTTTTCATCCTCGTTTCATTAAACTTTGAACAGGTTACTATTCTGTAAAATATTAAGGCAATTGTGCTGCAAAAATCAGTCCTAAAACCCAGAAACTAGTTCATATTTTTGCACTTCTGGTTCATCCCCTTTTTTGTTTTCGATAAATGCCTTAAAGCGATCGTAATTAGGAATTTTTTAATTTGTAAATACTATCTCATTTTTTTTTTTGGTCATTTTCAGCAATAATCCAAAAGCCAATGGATAAATCCTATTGGCTTTTTGTTGAGGGAATCAGGGTTATGATTGGCCTACAAAGAAACGTCATCTCTGCATTGCTTCAAACACAACTCATCCGATCAGAATTTAGAGTCACAGTTGGAAAACAATGGTTGTTTTCTGTGTTTAAACGAAACATACCAGAATTTTGCCGTTGGTTTTGTCCTGTCGAGCGAGACTGACCCCCATCCACTCGTTGTTCCTGTCGCCTTGACACGTCTTCCCGCAGGACTCCCTCTGCTTATTTCCTAGAGCAAAGAATGACAACGTTACTGTAGCCAACAGAGAAACAAACATCTCTGTCTGCAAAGAGAAATGCAATAAAACCACCGGCAGCCTGAAACAAGACTCAGACAGACAATTTGAGACAGTTCAATATGCTTAAATACAAACAATGCTGCTACAGATGGAACAAAAGAGTTTGTGTTAGTAAGAGGAGTTCAACACAAAACATTTGAAATGTGAAACTCATCAAATATGAATATGAAAGTGTACTGTATGAACTCATTCCAATGCTCACAATGCTGGTGTCCAACTGCTCTACTTGGGAATCATAATGTCTAGACTAGGCCTGTTCCCTAAAAGTCAACTAAACGTTAAACGTAAAACTTCTAGTCGACCAAAATTGTATTAGTCGATTAGTCGCAAAATAAAAAGAGTCACAAAGTCCGTGAGGACGTTACTGGTGTTATTATGTTAAAGGATTAGTTCACTTTCAAAAAAACTTTTGCTGATAATTTACTCACCCCCATGTCATCCAAGATGTCCATGTCTTTCTTTCTTCAGTCGAAAAGAAATTAATGTTTTTGATGAAAACATTCCAGGATTTTTCTCAATATAATGGACTTCAATGGGGTCCAAACGGTTCGGGGCTTTAAACGATTCAAATGTTCAAAGGGCTTTAAACAATTCCAGACAATGAATAAGAGACTCATCAAGCGAAATGATCGCTCAATCATTTCGTTCGTTGAATGAACCAAATGACACGAAAAAAGATTCGTTCATTTTGATAAACGAGTCACGAACGTGCATCACAGAACAGAGCGAGGCGACCATTTGAGCTTATAAAACTTAAACTTTGTTGTTATTTATTTATTAAATGAGCTTGATAAGACTCTTATTCATCGCCTGGAATCGTTTAAAGCCCTTTGAACAGTTTGTAGTTTGCACTGAAACTCTCATTTCTACCTTGAACCGTTTGGACCCCATTGAAGTCCATTATATGGAGAAAAATCCTGGAATATTATCATCAAAAACCTTAATTTATTTTCGGCTGAAGATTTTATGAAACAAATTCAATTTCAGCTATAAGCAGCTCTACAGAAGACAATACTTTCATTATTCAGCTCAATTCAGTTCAATGTGTATTCAATTCATTTCAATAACTATCAATGTTGCAAAGTTCATAAATTATGAAACAATTAATGTATAAAGCAGCTCTAAAAATACAATAATGTCATTATTTAGTTCAATGCTGATTCAATTTTATTTAATAACTGTCAAGAAGGACTAAGAAGAGACTATTTCTACAAACGGTTGCTTTTGAGAATCGCATCCGCATCCCAGTCTGTTTACTAACATGATATCGGTTCATTTACCTCGAAATGTTAGGATTAAAAAAATGAATTACTATGAAAAATGAATTATGAAAACTAATGCTGGTGGCTATTGTCTATTTGGGTTTTTTTATTAGTGTCCAGAAATGGAGGATTTATGAGCACAGGCGTGTTATTCCTGCAGGGAGTTTATCTAAGCATAAGGGTCGACTTTAATGTTTATCTATGAGCGTTGAGCTACAGTGGCCCTGTGAGGGGCAAACTGTGATTGTCCGCAGGAAGAGAGTGATGGCTCCCGGGACTGCGGCTGTTTTCTTTGGCTCTGGTTATTTTCTCAGCAGACTGACAGCATCGGCTCAGAGACTTCCAGACTTAGGCTGCGAAATGCCCAATTGAACTCGGATGTCTGTTCTACTCCCACCCAGTTTTGGTATGAATAAATGAAGCAATGCATTACCAAAAAAAAAAAAAAAAAATCACACCAGTCCAAAACCAAGTGAGTAGTTTTGCAGTCTACTACCAGCACTTAAAAAAAATGAAATGAAAATGAATGAAATTTATGGTAAAAATGGCATCTGTGGTTGCCAGAACTTTACTGTAATTATATTTAGAAGAATATCAGTAACCAGACAGTTTCTGGTCTCATTGACTTTCATAGTATATTTTTTTCCTATATGGAAGTCAATGAGACCAGAAACTGTCTTCTAAATATCAGAAAATCGTCTGAATGGATTTGAAAACGGTAAAACTCAACTGTTTAACTCTGGGGGAGTGGTAAAATGAGCCTATTTCCAAAAAAAAGTGGAGTATCCCTTTAAATTAGCGATTTAAATGCCCCCGCCGGTGACTCCGGTATTACCGGTGTTGTCAAACGTCGATTAACCGGTGAGAAAATAGCCTCACCGTCACATCCCTACTAGTTAATGAAATATGTAAAACACGGTAAAACTCGACTGTTTAACTCTGGGGGAGTGGTAAAATGAGCCTATTTCCAAAAAAAGTGGAGTATCCCTTTAAAGGCAAACGTAAAATGCGCGCGTTTCCACAGGCATGAATGGGCATTCATAATGGTGCAGTACTGCGGAATAGAACTGTTTTGTTATTTTGCGCTGAATATGCGCTAGTTTCAAAACGAAACAAACTTTCACATTTAAATTAGCATTAATTCATCCTTCGCTTGGAGTTTGATTGACAGACATGTAATCTGACCGATCAAATCCACCATTTTTGTCCGACAAAGCAGTCAGGAGAGTTATTAGACCACTAATACTGTTCACTTGAAGGAGTGAATGAGAAGGAGCAAATAAAAATGAGTGAGCGAATTCGGACAGCCGTTGCTGACAGAGACAAATTCAATTTTCTCACAATCGTTTAAGACTTTATTTAAATCATTTAAGACTGCTCTTATAGACATTTTAGCCTTAAATATTTTTAAGGCTTTAAACTTTTTGTTTTCACAGTCATGAAACCGTTGTTGCGACTGAACACCGTGTAACACCGGTAACACCGACTACCGTAGCAAGCCTATTAACTACTAATATATAATATTTGAATATACCAACCTATTGAAGTAGTATCTGTTTTGCATTTTTACAGTACACTGACTGACAACCACCAAAAAACAGGTGTTGAGAAAGACACATCATTACAAGTACAAGCTGCAGTAAATACTAATATAAACACACGACACTAAAATAATATTCAGAATAGAAAATTCATTTTAAATAGAACTGTTTTTTAAAGCTACACTGTGTAACTCTTTTAATTTAGTCTTAGCTAAAAACACTTTCTTTCAAAATATATGTGCTCATTAATGTATATTTACTTCGTTCAAGTAATAAAGTATTCTCGTGAGTGTATAATATGCCATTGAAAATACATACGGGTAAGGGGTTGAAAATGTCGGTCGCCATGTTGCCCCTCCATCTTGAAAGTACATTAGCCAAAGAATGACATAAGCTTGGCCTTTCGCGTTTACTTTTGAGTTAACACTCATGGACGAGGTCGAACTGGAAGCCGTGTTAATCTTGGACTACATTGGCCACCGTAGAAGTTAAAACGAAATCGGAATTGAGAGGAACAGAAACTGATATTCACTGGATGGTCATATACCTTTTCACCACTAGATGGGGGTAAAAATCACACAGTGTAGCTTTAACATTATAAAAGTCTTTATTGTCTCTTTTTATAAATCCTTGCTGAGTAAAACTTAAGGAATTTTGAATGTACAGTAGATATAGGACCATGGTCGACTAGGCAAGTTGTCTCGGGTGGTTCATAAGCTAGTATTTTCAGCAGCTATTACACGAAATCTTGTCAGGAAACGACCTTTTACCTCCTAAACAGCAGCCAGTTTGTCAAAAGTGTGACAAATGTTTCTAATCACGCCTTGTTTGACTTGTTTAAAGTTAATGCTTTTGCCCCTAAAGCTGCGAAGCATCCAAAGCACACAAAGACGAGCGCCAGATCTCGAGTTAGGAGGAAAAATACAAACTGTCAAAAACCAAGATGAAGTTTGCTTGGGATATGGACGAAACATTATTTTCAGCAATTAGCAGCGAAGCACCATCCAAAAAACACTACTCATCGAACACAGATATGTTTCACGGGTTCAAGACTGCAGGAAAACCGCAAGAAGAATTCCCTTTTAAAAAACTTGGCCGTCGCTTCAAATGAGAGGGCGCGAGGAATGTTCCTCAGACTATAAACATCTCATCGCATCACCGACCCCGGTTCCCCCGGCTATCTCCGTAACAGACGTGTTTGTTTTCTCATCTGTGCGGGTCCCGAATGCCGTGTTCTTCTGGTTGTGAACCGCTCAGCGAGGGGATGGCCTTCTCTCTGAAGAGAAGTAATGAGATCTGGAGTGACAGAGCGTGAGGCCGGAGTGTGCTGGTTGGTTAACTGATAACTGAAGGAAAACAAATGCGCACGCTATCTCTACTTTGATCGTCACGGTAAGCGTTGGTCAACAGAGAATTAGGATCTTTTTAACACTGTGTAATCACAACCACTGCCAATAATAGCTCAGTCCAATAGTTGGCATTAGCATGTTGCTTAGTGCGTGGTGTAGGTAGTCATCTCACTAGCAACTAGTACACAGTATACCAGAGATGTATAGTAACGAAGTAGAACTACTTAAATACTGTACTTAAGTACTAAAATGCTGTATAGAGTATTGTTTTTTCTCATACTTCTACTTTTACTTCAGTAGATATTTTCAATGAATTTAATACTTTTACTGCGATATTTTTTTTTAATATTCTGCTAGTTACAATTATAAAAATTGTACGAATCATTCGTTGCAACCCTTATGAAAAATAAGTTTATTCAAGTGTGCCATTAGTATACTTCTTTTAAACTAAAAATAAGAAAGTATACTTTCAGTTTTTTTCCTGCACTTCTCAGAAGTATACTATATGTACTTCTCAGAAATTACACTTAAGTGTACTTGACTTATACTGAGAGAAAAGCAAGTATATTTGTTCTGTTCTTATACTTAATCTTTTGATCCAGAAATACTTAAAAGTATAATTAAGTATTCAAAGTATACTTGTATAAGTATTACAGTAAACTACTAGTATACCCATAAATTCACTTGCAGTACACATAATTGTGTGTACTAGTTGTGCACTTACTGTTACACTTATAGTACACTTAAACATATATTTTTGTGTACTAAAAGTGGGCCA